TATATGTATATAATATATACATATATAAATATACATATATATATACATATATATATGTATATATTAAGCTATTGCTGATTGTTGTTTTCCAGTATGTTTTCAATATATATGTGTATATATGCCTATATACACATATATATATATATATATATATGCCTATATATACACATATACACATATATACATATATATATATATTATATATAAATATATATCATATATATATATATATATTATGGTAATAATAATAGCAGCATATGGCAATTGCATATTACTAGCTCTACCACAGTTTTTGTAAGGTCGGTTATTATTATATTAATACAGTATGTATGCTAAAAAGCTAAAATTATGGAAAATGGCAGCCATTTTAAATTGTAATAGCTCAAAAATGTGTACAATATTTAGTTAACTGTTGCTGTCATTGTTATGAGTGGATTTCCAATTAAATACTGCATTTTAATGACATAAATTTACAATGTTAGTGACAATTTTAGGAAAAAATGGTGGCCATTTTGAAACGGCTGGCAACCCCCCTTACGTATGAAAAAAAAACATGTTGCACATACTTTTTTGATTTATCTATGTCTACTCTACATCATATCCAATTTTTAAAAAATATAGCAAAAAAAAAAAATGCAACCAACCAAAGTTTGCAGGACTATATGATACATTTGAATATTTTTATATTATGAAAAAAAAGTATTTTAATTATAGCAAACAGTAAATGTTTTGAGACGCCAAAATTTAATAAGAACGGGAAGTATTGTTGATGATGATTGTGTAATGATGTATTATTTTTAAAAAATGCCTTAGAAAAATAAATCCTTGCATAGGCCTAAGTAGGCTCTACATAAAATGTCATTCAAAATGCGTTTATACTCCCCATTGTTGGGTACAGTATGAATATAGTGTGCACGGTCGATAAAGAGACCTACTGTCCCGAGGCTATGTAAAATCACATCGTTAGTGATTTTCAGGAGAAAACGTATCGAAGCCTTACCTTAACTCAACTCGCACCAGGTATAGTTATAAGATATCTCAAAAATTCCAAGTAATTTATAAAAGATTTAATTTATGTTTTAATAGCTCCAAAATTTGGGTAAAATTCAGGGTAGGATCCTTCGATGAAAGCATTAGTTTTCAAAAACGTTTACGCCGTTTTAACACTATTGTAATTATTCATAATGTTTTGTGAGCGTTGATAAATAATGGAAAATAGAAATATCCCTCCGCGGATTGATATGCATGAATATGCATACGACTCTCGAGTTTTATGCGTGGATGAACGCTATGGAGTCACTAGGCCAAGTTATCTTAAATAAGCCTTGGTAGTCAAAACAGTGTAAAAATTGTAGTACCAGACTAGACACATTCTATGTAGGACTACAGCATGATCTTCGAAAGTATATATAAAAAAAAAAAAAACAACGGAGTAGGCTAATATTGAATCTGGCACCGTATTTGAGTAGGCCTATATTATGTATATATATATATATATGTATATATATATATATATATATGTATACATATATATATTTATGTATATATGTGTATATATATATATGTATATATGTGTATATATATATGTATATAATATATACATATATAAATATATATACATATATATATATATGTATATATTAAGCTATTGCTGATTGTTGTTTTCCAGTATGTTTTCAATATATATGTGTATATATGCCTATATATACACACACACATATATATATATATATGCCTATATATACACATATATACATATATATATATCATATATAAATATATATCATATATATATATTATGGTAATAATAATAGCAGCATATGGCAATTGCATATTACTAGCTCTACCACAGTTTTTGTAAGGTCGGTTATTATTATATTAATACAGTATGTATGCTAAAATCTAAAATTATGGAAAATGGCAGCCATTTTAAATTGTAATAGCTCAAAAATGTGTACAATATTTAGTTAACTGTTGCTGTCAT